GTCCCATGTGCAGGCATAAATTGCCCACAGAATATACATGTTCAGGTGGATAACTGTCCCATGTGCAGGCATAGATTGCCCACAGAATATACATTTTCAGGTGGATAACTGTCCCAGGTGCTGGCATTAATTACCCATGTCCTCATGTGGGTTAAGTAATGTGCTGCTGACAGTCAATTACACAGAAAACCTGGTCTTTGTTTGTACCCTTTGGATTGCTACATGAGAGTTTGATCACCACTGAGGCTGTAAGAATCTCATTCTAGATGGCACACCAAAAAGGCAAGTCCCAGTTACCCTATTTAACCTCTAAAGTTATAACTAGGGTGTCCCCCGTGTGGGTTCCGGGGCCCCATTGTGGGGAAAACAAGAATAGACCCACTGCCTCCCCAAAAGCATGTCAAAAGAGTCGACTAATTGGTTAGCTTCCTTTGAAGTCGGAGTGCATCTGCCGGAGAGGCAAGGAACCAACAGTCTGTGTTCAAGAGAATGAGATCTGTAAAACTGCATACGCAACACTCAGGTTCTGGAGCAGGACTGCAGTTCAGTAGTGGACGATCAACCAGAACTTTCCGCCAGAGTGTACAGCTGGTGAACGCGAAGAAGAAGATAACTAGGGTACTCATAATGACTAATCCAGCCTGGTTTGGCTGCTGCGTGGCAAAAGAATGAGGATCAGAAAACAAAATTATTACAGAAAATATTTATAGCTTGAGTGTGCACTTTTTTGTTGTTGTTGTTGCTGATTACTAGCCAATCTTTCATGATGTTTAGATCTTTTTCGATGTCAGTGTTTCTTTTCTTCTTTGATTTCTTCACCTTTCCAGGATTTCTAAACTTTATACATTTTATTTCTGAAGTTTATTTCTGAGTAAAGACACAAGTAATATAATTTTGAGCATTGTGCAATTGATAATATATACATTATTTATTTTCTTCTTTCTGAAAGTTTGACTTTGCAGTTGCCTGATAAACTGTATCCTTTATACCAAACCAACAGGACAGTACCAAATCAGTTTCCTAAGAAGTTATTATAATTAGAGCTCTGTAACTGATATACCAGGTAATACCCTGATGTACCTTGCTGGCACTCAGGTAATACCCTGACATACCTTGCTGCCACTCAGGTAATACCTTGATGTACCTTGCTGCCACACAGGTAATACCCTGATGTTCCTTGCTGCCCAAGAGTGGATGGAGGATTTGATGGCTTGGTGCCAGTTAGTTTAGGACTTTAAATTCAACAAAAGATACCAGACAGAAGAAGAAGATGCATAAATTAAGTGGATTCATTTCACAACTTTCTGGGGACAAATGAAATCTGAATACAGGGTAAAGGAACATCACTTTAAGCTTATTAACCTAACAATGAATGCCTGGAAATGGTTAATGAAAGTAGAACATTATATACAACAATGAGAAGTAGACAAAGTTCTTTGGACATGTGATGAGAAAAGGAGCACTGGAAAATATCGTGCAAGATCACTGGTAGAAATGGCAGAGGCAGACCAAGGGAAATGATGGTGAATGGCTTAAGAGAGTGGCTTGGAAGAATATCATCAGTGGAATTGATCCAAAACACCAAAGATTGAGATCTGTACAGATGCATGAATGTCTACATCAGCTGGCAAAGCACTTGATGATGATAATAATGATGATGCTTTGAAGAGAAAACCAATGTACATACTACATCTACTGGGATATAAACAGAAATCAAATAGGAAAACAACAACCTAAACATTACTTTACAGTGTTGTAAAAAAAAAAAAAAATCTAGAATGAGGAGAAAAAATATGTTATCTCTTCTTTCCTGTGAAGTAGAAAGAACGTGAAAACAAAAATGTATAGATTACCTCTCCTGCTATGTAGAAAAAGAGATCCCTGTCCTCTCCCTTCTCTGCTTCTCGATTGGCAGCTTCAGCAAGAACATCCATGCCCTGCTTAAGTCCAGTCTCACTGCCATCTGGACAACAAAGAGATGTATGAAATTATTATCAATGACAATAACATTCCAGTTCTCTCTGTGTGGATATACAAGAGAATAGACTGCAATAAAAACACACAAGTTTTTATGCAAAAGAAAGTTGATGAAAGTCATTTTAAAAAAGCCAAGCTAAGTAGCAAAGCCATTTTCCTGAAGGTCATGGGCTCATGTCACAGGCTATGTCGCTCAGTTAACAAGTGCTATTTTTATGAATATTCTAGGGACCATTGCTGGTGCTATGGAGTTGGTGCTTTATGTGACCTCTCTGGGGGAGAAAGAGTAAGGCATAAGCAATAAAAAATCAGTGTAATGTATTTGATCCTCTAGCCTTTCAACCCTTTATTTCAAACAATGAAATCTAATGTCTGCCTGAAATAGCAAATGAAGACAAAACTGGAATGATTTTTAACCCTTTCGCCCTGAGAAGCCACAACCGTTAGGGTCATGGAGGTGTAAAGATGGAAGCACTAGCACATAATACCCACCATCTTTCTCTGTCTTCTGCTTGATGAATAAGTGTATGATATCTTAGCCCTGTTCATTTCTTGATACTGTAATTCCAGATTCATCTTTACCCTGCTCTCCTTTGACCACCCCACAAAACTGCTACTTCTTCTTCTTCTTCTTTCGTTCGCCTGAAATAAGTTATCTATATCAGCAGTTTTGTCTCTTGTATAAATTTCACTGTCGTTGTTAGTTCATTCAGTGGTCCATAGAGTTTACGTTCCACTGTTGTTCTTTCTGGCCAAAAGGTTTGCCTTAATGTGTCAAATTCGGTGCAGTCCTGGAGTACATGCTCTGCGGTCTGGGGCACATTTCCACAGGTGCACATGGCTGATACACCTATCTTGAATTTTGTGTACATGTGGTTACGTAATCGGTTGTGCCCTGTTCTGAGGCGGAAGATAATGACTTGTTCTGGTCTGTCCATAATAAAATAGTCGTCTTGTGCTGGGGCTGGTGGTTTCCTGATCGATTTAATGATTCTTTTCTTTTGGTGGTATGTGACTGGTACATCTGGCTGCTCTTTTTTCGCACCTTCCCCTGCCAGTTGATCAGCTTTCTCATTTCCAGGCACTCCACAATGAGACGGTATCCACTGCATTACGACTCTTTGCTGAACGCTGAGTTGTGTCAGCAGTGTTTGCAATTCTGGTAGTTTCCTAGACTGGAGTGCTTCAAGTACTGATTTAGCATCTGTAAGCATTACCACATACTGTGAGCCAAGGTTGGTATTTAGCAGTTTCTCTGTAGCTATCTTAATAGCCTGGGTTTCTGCATCGTAGTTATGGCAGTACTTCCCGGTTGGTACGCTGGACTTATCCCTAGTACCATCTGGGAATTCGATGTACACTCCAGCACCACCATTTCTAACTGCACTTTCTGCGGACCCATCTGTATAGACTCTGACCCATTGTTCTTGTGGGTATTCTTCATCAATATAACTGAGGGTGGCCATTTTGCGTTGTACACTATATTGCTCTTTCTTGTCAAATATCCCTTTCACATTTGTCTGGATTTGTACCGTTAGTTTACATTTTTCTCTCCATGGGGTTTGTTCCGGAATACTTTTTAGTGGGCAGCCAATTTCTGGAAGGTCAGGAGTTTGTCTACATATTCTTTTTGCTTGGTGTATAAAGCTGCTTCTTTTTAACCGTCCCAAGGCTAGGTTCTTAAATCTATTTTCCATCGGGTGATCTGGCATACTGAGGAACTTTTCAGCTTGTATTTGCAACTTTGTATCTCTGCGTTCTCTCAGTGCCTGTGTTTTCCCAGCTTTCTCCATTTCTAATATGGGGGTTGATTTCATCCCTCCTGTGATGACTCTGAGCGCTTGATTTTGCACTTTGTCTAACTCCTTTAATGTGGTACTAGATGCTGAACACCATGCAGTTGACCCATATTCCAAGTGTGGAAGTATGCTCTGCTTGTATACTTTATTGAGTATTTTCCCATCTGCTCCCCATGTGGTTCCACTTAGTTTTCTTAGTATTGCTGTCTTCCTCCTGGCTTTGGTTGCTGCCTTGTTGATATGTTTTCTCCATGTCAACCTGTCATCAAATGTGACTCTAGGTATGTGGGCTCTTTATCATCTAAACTGCTACTTCTGATTGGATGCAATTCCCAGTAAATGTCGCCATTCTGACTAATCTATACTGACTTGTTGACAAGATGCATAGTGAAGGCTACTGGCTGTTTTCGCACGTGTTTAAATGTTTAGAAGGTCAGGATGTGAATACATTAATAAAAACACCATTTAGGGTGGTCTTCCTTTGAGCCAAATAGCTTAGCTGAAGCTAAGTTCTTCAAAGTGTCCTGTGAGCCTCAATGATAGAGGTCATTGGGTCGCAGCATGAGTCACCTGATATATTTTTAGGCTCCGGGGAATGAATTACATTTAATGCTTCAACCTGCTAATGTTTTTTGATTACTTCCTTCTTACAATTGTATATATATGTATATATAATATACATATATACACACACACACACATATATATTCATATATATACATACACACACACACACACACACACACACACACACACACACACACACACACACACACACACACACATATATATATATATATATATATATATATATATATATATATATATATATATATATATATATATATATATATATATATATACACATAAACAAATTTGCACAAATAGATTTGTTACAAATTTATTAGCAATCTGTATTATAAAAAAAATTGTGAGGTATTTAAAAAAAAAATTCTAACAGGGTCATAACCATGTTTTTTGTGTGTGTATCTGTTTGGTAGTGTTCCCGCAGCAAGAGGGTCAATGATTAAATAACTCTGGAACAAATAGCTAAGACTAATCTCTCACAGGCAGCATAACTATCAAAGGTAATATAAATAATGATGGCTTCTTCTGTTAGCAGATGTCACATTGAAAGAAGGTGACAATGTTAATGGAATAGAGCTATCTTCACAAGAACGCCCTGTAGCTCTGATTTCTGTTGAAGGTAAACCCTTGCCTTACCTGAGAAATAAATCACACAAATGTTCTCATTGAGCTGCAGAGATGACAGCGGGGTCAGCTCATCTATGGGCTGCGGGTACCAAGGAAAGTCCTGCAAAGGAAGGAAGAAAGCATTCACTTAACTCTTTCAGTTCCAGTTAGTGCTGAATTGAATAGTACCTTTGCTAAAGTTCATGTATCTTAGGGCAATAATGTTTAGTCTCATATAGCTTTGTAAGAGAAGGTGTTATAATAACAAATGGAGAATAATAGGTTAACATAAGGTCTTATAATAACAAATAGAAAATAAAGGGTTAACATAATACATGAATGGGATGGGGAAAGTAATGTGTACCATATTTAGTGCAATCAATGATAGTACAGTGAGTTCCTTGGTTATGAACGAGTTAATCTCTCTCTCTCTCTCTCTCTCTCTCTCTCTCTCTCTCTCTCTCTCTCTCTCTCTCTCTCTCTCTCTCTCTCTCTCTCTCTCTCTCTCTCTCTCTCTCTTTCTTTCTTTCTACAGTTAGTGTGCTCCAACAGGAACTATCAATTTGTCACCCTGGTTTTACACTCTTTCAGACAGCTGTGTGTCTCTGCCTTGACGTTATTCTAACTTTAGTGATCTAACATGAGAATCACCTGTACATACATGTTGTAACTGTAGCTGACTCACAGAGTATGTTGAGAAAGATGGAGACAGGCATGCTCCATACAGAGTGGCAAGCATTGCTTCAGATAGTTAGCATGCGTCCTTTGGATATTTTCTCCAGGTGAAGCTAGTGTGTTGGGAAATGAGCAGGCAGATAGACTGGCTAATTCTGCACCACTTGGTGGTGAATTGATGTATGACAAGCTAGATGTTGTAGGAGCCCTTTAGGATTGCATGAACAGTGCAGAGGCTCAAATAGATCTTTACAGTCTGAGAAAAATGGCGCTGCGGGAAGTTACCAGGGGATCTGGCCGACACGAGGGAAAGGCAAAACGGATGTACAGTCAGACAGTTACGGGTACCTTCAGAATTTGAACTCTGAGCTTCCTGCTAAAGATGGGGGACGGAGCGCTTATGGCAGTGTCCCGATATCGATTCTTAATTCAAGATTCAGTATCCAACTTGAATGAATGTATTTCTTTTACCCTCTTGCCTTTAGTCTTTCTCCACAGTATAATTGTTATCAGTGTTATGTATTTTAATGTGGCTTAAAAACGTAACTTTTTTTTTTTTAATTTCTGTCATTGTCAGTCTCTACACAGGATTTTATTTTAACGAAATAATGCTTATTTTTTTGTATATCCAAATCTTCACATTCAATTGATTTTCTAGTCATTTATTCATTATCAAGCTTTCCATGCTATCTGGAAAAAACTGGGAACTCAGCTCCCTTCAAGGCTTCCTCCCACTCCCAATCCCCTATTGTTTTTGTGTGTGTTTATTTTAGGGGTGGAGATCAGCCCTCCCAATAATTTTGTAAGGGGACCAAGAGGTCCCTTTTAAAGGGTATAGAAATTTCCTTTACAAGTTTTTGTTTACACATTTGATATTTCAAGTACATTATGCAATAAAGCAAACCAAGTATTAGGACAGCTAGCTCCCCTCTTACAGCATAAGACAATCCCAATCAGCACAAAGAGACATCTTATTCAAAGCATATTTATTCCAACCATACCATACAAAGCATACATGGAAAGGGAAGAAGGACATAGAGCACTAGGTAGACCAAGAACAAGATGGAAGGATAACATCAGAGAAACTCTACAACAGCATGATGTGCCTATGGTCGAGGCGGCCAGAAGAGCTAGAAACAGAACCTTATATCTCCCTCGACACCCACAGCGGTAAAAGAGGAAGTGATGAAGAAGAAGAAGAAGTACATTATTGTGCGGTGTGATGTTGACCATATCCCCCACCGAAAGGTCTATAAAATATAGGTCTAGCCCTATATGCCCAGTACACACGCCCAAAGGTGTGGAAAAGGGTCCTTCATTTAAAAATAATAATAATAATAATAACAATAATTATAATAATAATAATAATATGCTAAATTCCCCATGTGTGTTCTATGACCCCGTTGTGTGGAAAACAAGAACAGACCCACTGCCTCCCCAACAAATATGCTTTGAGAGTTGACTGAATGGTGGTTTCTTTTGAAGTCAGAATGCATCTGCCTGAGATGCAAGGAACCAACAATCTGCATACAAATGATTCAGATCTGTGAAATGGATGTGTATGCAACACCCAGGTTCTGGCTGAGACTGAAGTCCAGAGGTGGACGAACAACCAGAACTTTCCACCGCCAGTGAACATGAAGAAGTTATGCAGAATAGCAAAAAAATATAACAATATACTTAAAAAAAACAAAAAACGTCCACCTGCAGATCGGAAGGTCGTGGGTTTGCGTCCTCAAGGAGCCACACATTTTTTTTTTTTTAAATGACTTTGACTCCCAGGTCGACGCAGTCTTGAGTGGGTACCAGGTGTAGTCCTGGGAAGTAAAGGCGATCGGCATGATGCAGATCACATCACCCACCAAGTGCCGATTGGTCTATAAAATATAGGTCTAGCCCTATATGCCCAATATGCCTACGTGAAATAATGACATGTGTAAACAAACATTTAAAAAGATAATTTGTACACCAGGTTAATAGTGGCATCTTAGACCCCTTACAAAATACTGGGTCAGGTGCTTCAGTTTTTTTGGGTGCCTTCCTTTTTCAGGCCTTCAGGCATATTGGGCATAGAGGGATCAACCTATATTTGGAAAGACCAATAAGAACTTGGTGGGTGATGTGGTCAATATCTCACCGGCTGCCTTTACCTTCCAGGACTGTACCTCGTACCTATTTAAAGGTCATTTAAAAAAAAAAAAATCAGTTTCGTCAGGGCCTGAACCCACGACCTTCCAATTCACAGGTAAAGGTTTAGCTGTAACACCACAGTGGCTTCTAACATCCTAAAGGATTGAGTGTATTTAATTATTGATATTTTTTTCTCAATGTTAATGAGTTATTTAATTTCACATAGAGTTGGTAAAAATCATCATCATCATCATGTAGCAGGTCCTTTGCAGAATGTTACTCTCATCACGGTCTGCCTGAAAGAAACTCGGTCTCTCGCCAGCTCTCCCGCCTCATATACTTTCATACTCAAAGAGTTACTTATATTCTCTGCTCATTTTCGTGTGTGTTGGCCCCTGCTACTGCTTCCTGGTACCATGCCTTCTGCTATTATTTTTTCCAATCCGTCGTGGCGCTTGATATGACCAAAATATTTCAGCTTCCGAGACAGGATGCTGTTTATTAGCCAATCTTCCTTGATGTTCAGATCTTTCAAGATGTTCTGAGAATCTTTTTATAGCATTTCAGCTCAAAAGCCCCTATTCTCTTTCTTAAGGACTGGGAGATAGTCCACGATTCACATCCCTAAGTTGCTACAGGGAAGATGCATGCTCTCAAAATTGGTAAAAATATTGTGTTATAAAATATCATTCATTTGGTATCTATTGATACACATTTGTTTCTCTGCATTGGTGCCATTCACCCAGTAAGAGAATTTCGGGTAACACAAACTTGAAACTTAAGACAATTCTTCTGTTTTCCTTACCTTACACTCAGGATCCTGGGTTATTGCTTGTCGACCATTCATCGTAATAATGTTGCCCTTTTCATCCACCAGGACCAGCATAGGAATACCTGCATGTGAGAATCAAAATGGAGCACAGCATCATCATCAAGTGTTTTACCAAACTAGGATAGACAGCAGTGTTTCTTTATATCTCATGACCTTTAGCAGTATGCATCATCAGTTCACATGCTAATACTTCTCTGTACCATGATGGAAGGCTATCTTTCTCTTTTTCAGTGTTTGCCTTTAGAAGGTCAGCTGGCATGCTGTGTGGTGGTTTACAGCTAAGTTGTGACATCTGTGCCTTTTGGCCCTACACATACAATTTCAGTAAAATCCCAGTTAGTTGTCTCTTACTACTACTTGTTAGGGGGCATTGAGTCCCCCCCCCCCCCCCCCCCACACAAACAAACACACAATTGAGGCTTAAGAACCTGCATATGGAGAAATCAAGAATCTGTTTTCCTTGTCTTCCTTCTATCGCTCCCCCCCCCCCCTTCCCCCATTTATTTGGCCACTCAAGGTATATTTTAGCATTCTTCTGTAAAAATACATTTTTTTACTTCTTTATGAATTAGACAATTCATTGCTACATTCTACATTTACCAGGTGAGTTTAGACTAACCACATGTTCCCTCTGTCATCAAAACACATGAATGGTGATGCTTGATGGACTTTCTGATTTGTTTATTTTATTTGAAAGGATTCATTTTTAGGCTTCACTATTTGTTTAGTTTTGTATGATCAGCTGGAAGAAAGGTCAGAACTTTGGGCTCTCAAGCGAGAGACCAAGGTTTGAATTCTTCGTAAAGTTGGCATTTTTCTGTCAGGGAATAAAATAAAATCCTAATCTGCACAGTTTGTGGCACTAGCCATGGAGCCCTAAGTGCTCAGTCTCACAGAATGCCCTGCCTACACCGCAACAGTGGTAAACACTTCTTAACTCTTTAAGTCCCAAGGAACGAATCACACATTTATAAGTTGCTAGCTAGAAGCCCAGTGAAAGCAAGATGCGCCAGTTTTACATTTCTTTTTACCATCTCTTGGGCCTTAGATGCTGAACCCACTGGGAACTGAAAGAGTTGATGGCAGTTGTACGATCATTTATGTCTTCATTACTAGTCCAATATACATTGTCATATATTAAAAATGGTTCTGTATATCACACACAATTTTTTTGTTCTGACTTTCAATAACAAGGACTTAATCTCTAACTTTTTCTTTTTTTAATACACTGTTCAATCTGTTTTTTTTTTACTTTTTTACACTACAGAAATAAGGCATGTTTATATTTGACAAGGTGTAGCAAGAGGTAGAAAGCAGTCCAAGTTGGTGGATACAAGCAGGAGATGTAAGAACAGAAATGTGATAAAGTAAACGATCAGAGCAAGCAAAACATCATGTCTGGAAGCCCACTGAAGCAAACCTTAATGTAGAGATGACACCTGCACAACTGACTGAAAACTCTATATCTTCATGTCTTTTTCGGTCTGCTATATTTCTGTGTTCCAGCGAGCTCTTATATTGTTCTCAGATTTTCTCAATGTATGTCCTACCAACTAAGCATCTTATCTTCACCTCTCCTCTTTATTTACTTAAACTTGTCTAGTTCTCTCCTGAAGTTAAACACCAGTGATTCTATCATACCTTTTAATTCTCTTGAATCTGCACATGCACCAGTTAATGAAACCCTACATACACTCACTATGACTCAAAAGAAAGGTGACTTACCGTCGACGCCCAAATGCTTTTTCACAATCTGGTTCCTGGAATCCTCGTACGGAATGGTCAGCCATGGCATGCCAGCCATGTGACGCTGAAACGCCTCCTCGGACCGGTCAGCGGAGACAAAGACCACTTGGAACTTCTCTCCGCGAGCTTTCAGAGTTTGGTAGGCACGGATCAGCTCAGGGTCAAAGTAACGGCAGGGAAGACACTGGAGAAGAAATGTGCAATATAGAAACAGTAAATAACAGCTCCATCTGGTTAAAGATTCAAAATCAGATAATTCATGGAAAGCTCGTGTGAGCTCTGTCTCGCTCTTCAACAACTAGTGAAGAGTCTCCACACTGATGTTACCAGTTGTCAAGTAGTTAACTATTCATCTTGCCTTTCCCCCATGTCTCGAGTGGCACCCAGAGCCTGCAGACATTCCATGCTGCCTCATTATGTCTAGGTACAGGTTTTCAGTAAATTCCATTTTACTTGTTACCTGGTCCCACAGGCAACAGATCACCTCTGTCTTGTGCAGGTGCAGTATTCAGTAACTTCCATTTTACTTGTTACCTGGTCCCACAGGCAACAGATCACCTCTGTCTTATGCAGGTGCAGTATTCAGTAACTTCCATTTTACTTGTTACCTGGTCCCACAGGCAACAGATCACCTCTGTCTTATGCAGGTGCAGTATTCAGTAACTTCCATTTTACTTGTTACCTGGTCCCACAGGCAACAGATCACCTCTGTCTTATGCAGGTGCAGTATTCAGTAACTTCAATTTTACTTGTTACCTGGTCCCACAGGCGACAGATCACCTCTGTCTTATGCAGGTGCAGTATTCAGTAACTTCCATTTTACTTGTTACCTGGTCATCCACACAAAAGTCTCCAATCTGCCAGATCCCAGACAGCCTATTCAACTTCCAAAGAAAATATAATTAGGGCACTCCATAATGGGTACTTTAGCCTCTTGTAAGACACAGTGCTGTACGGATAAGGACTCGACTGATTCATGTTTCACCCCACTAGGACATCATGCCAAGCGATAAACCTCCGGTGACACAAAGTGCCACCATGGGGATGAGGAACAACTGTGGAGAGATTCCAGAAACCCCGTTCAACCCGTAGTTTGGGTTATATTAGGATCCCCGGCAATGCAACAGCCGTAGTAGAGCTTCAAAATAACGAAAAATTACGTCCTTCATGGGAACATAGGCAACATAACTGCAGATAAAGACTCGACTGTATTATTCCACAATGTCCCTCCTGGATTAGCATCTCAAGGATGAGAATCCTGCATGTATAAATCATGGTATTTCCCGTATCAACCCTAAGGGGTGCTGTTCACATTTCCAGGCCCAGGATTAGAATGACTTCCCTTGCCATTCAAGCCTTCTTAGATTACTGGACCTCTCGTATGTTGTAGGGGAGTCATGCTTTCCTTTTTGTTAATGGTTTAAACGTTTCTCGTCTTCTCACCGCTCACTTGCGTGATTATTTTCAAGTTCTACTACCTGCGTGACATCTCAGGAGTATGGCATTAAAAAAAAATTTTTAACACTCCTTCTAACCATCGCCAACAAATGTAGAAATACAAAAACATCATAGTTTCGATAGCCAAAAATCTTCACCCCGGCATCGCTTTCGCCCTGCAGTACTTCTTGCTTGTACACAAGCACCTGCGGCGCCTGAAAAAGACTCACAACAACACAACCTCCAACAAACATTACATACGCCAAGTGAACGCCAAACCAAGCCAAAACATAACACCCACACAATGTAGAAGAGGTCCAGCGACCTAAGGAGGTTTGAATGGCAAGAGAAGTCACTCTAATCCTGGGCATGGAAACATAAACAGGTCCCATAAGGTTAAATTAGAGCACCCGACGCTTACAGAGTAACCCCCTCCCCCGCTCCCTCCCCCATTTTTGTGGGCCGGGTATGTCATGCCAAATGACTGGCCTGGCCGCCCAACTACCCGAAGGATAGTCGGTATTGAAAGTTGAACAAAGAAACTGCCCAGCATGAGTTTTTCTTTAGACTGCTCTTACCGTTTGGGTCTCGGTAATCTTGGCCAGACCCATTGAGCAGATCTACACTTTGATCTCAGCCAGACGATCCAGACCAGGCAGGGATTTGTCATGGTAATCGTGTGATATAAAGTAAGTTGTACCCCACCAGGACATCACACAGAGCGATAAACGCCCGGTGACACAAAATGCCCCCATGCGGATGAGGGTCACCTGTGGAGAGGTCCCAAAAACCGCGTTCAACAGTTAAGTTATTTTAGGGGCCCCTGGCAACAGCCAGAGTGGGGCTTCAAAAAAGCGAAAAATTTCATCCCAGAATGGGACGACTTTAGTATTGATTTGATTGACAGTGTTGTTATGTAACTAAGTAAATTCTACTCCACCAGGACATGCCACTGAGCTACAGCCTGAGTGGGGTTTTAATTTTTTTTTCCGGGTCAGTTTCCCAAATGCCCAGCCTGGCCGCCCGACTACCCGAAGGATATTGCGTCTGTAATCCAGACTGAACGGGAAAAACCGCACGGCAGATTTTTTGAGATGGCTTTGCCGACTGGGACTTGATTGTGACCAATCCCGGGCCTCTTGGCCAGACCCAGTGCTGCAGAGCTACACTTTGATCTTAGCCAAAAAAAGCCGAAAAGCGATCTGAGTGGGGTTTTAAAAGAACGAAAAATTGCGTCCTACATGTGG